AATTTTCCCGCAACAGTTATATTTGACGATTAACAATAGTGATGGTGATGTTTTAGTTTTATTACTTCTTCGTTTTCCTGCCAATGAAACTGACTGGGTCGAAATTTTCATTTTGATGAGTACTTTAATCGATGTTTTTGTCCCATAAATTCCTGAGTATTTAATCCTACATATATTGTATTTTTGGATTAGCGTAGTTTTATATCATGCAACCAGTAGTTTCCATTTATAAAACTGACTAACTTTGTAAGTTAAATTTCATAAAGACTAGTTATTTTTTGTCATTTTAGCTGTAAACTAACATTTGGCATTCGTGGATAGACAAATTTCGTAAATTCTGATTTATTACAGTCGGTTTGGCGAAATAAGTCAAAGGAAATAATGTTTAGTTTAGAGATTTATGTATTGGTGGCTTTTTGCATATTTCCCCTGCATTAACGAAGGTCAAAATCGCATGACTCTGTAGAATGAAATATTTGTATAACTTTAATCATTCTAGTAAAGGTTTTAGTAAGGTTATTTTAACTCCCCTTAATTTGCTTTCTTGAATTTAAAATTACAGAGCTAAAACGGCTATAGCCTAAATCATAGTTATGACATGATAAGGTATTTGCAATATTTTATTCTCTCAATATTTTGTTGGTATACTTTGTTATACAGAACTAATTTTTCTTACATTAGTGTTTTATATAAAATGTTTGTTTCAATTGGTGTCACATTTAAGAGGATTAAACTCAAGTTTACTGCTATTGAATCAAAGTAGTGTAAAATAGGAAGCAAGCACTAAATATGAATGACTCTACTGTACAATGTTTTTTTTTTCTTTGATAAGAATAAAAAAAAGCATTTATTTTTCAGAAGTGCTAATTTTTTTTCTTTTAAATTATTAGTTTTCAGGTTTCTACTTTTGTTTTTTGTTTTTGTTTTTTTTTTTTTTTTTTTTTTTTTTTTTTGTTTTTTTATTTCGAAAAATAGAAAGTATTGCTATAGAAAATATAAGTAAAAGCAAAGATAGCGAAAGATGCAGCAACAAGTAGTATAATTAGTATACTGTACGTGACAGCATAAACTATAAAATATGCACAAGTTTTCCCTGTTTGTAAGCTCCATCGCATTAACCTACGAAATATCGCACGGCACTTATTGCGGAATAGAAACTTTTGCTTAGCGATCTCCCTTTGCTGGAGTTCTTTTCGTTTGGATTTCTTTGCATGCCGAGGCATCGCTCACAGTGCAAAACATTGAGTGAGTATAAGAAAACTAAATTAATCATAACAGCAAGAAATAATGGGTGGATTATGGTGAATTCTTTCATATTTTCTTTGTCGCCTAATATAACAACGGTAGACCATGTTCTATGCTCCTTAAGTACAGCTCTAAAAGTCAATTGATTGAATTAAAAACAAGGATACAAAAATTTTGCCTTCTTTCAACACATAATTCGAAATGTTAGAGCAAAGTTTTTTTTTTTTTTTTTTATAAAATTTTTTTAATTACTTTTTCTGGAAATCAAAATGAATTCAGACTGTGCTTTGCTAGTTTGGCAGCATATGGTCTTGTGTTAGCTTGATGGAAGGAGGTTGCAACAGTGCATATAGCTTGCAATACCTGCAACCTGTTACCATCTGTGAAGCACTGTTCTGGTTATCATTTTGTTGTGACTTGTCAGATATGTCAGGTCCAGTTTTGAAGATACCGAGCACTTAAGTCACTTAGTCAGTCTTTTTAGATGACATCTGGTTTCCATTTTCTTCCAATATCCCTGGATTAAATCTTTATCACATTTCGTGATCTTTTCGCTCCCATTCTTTTTTCTTTTGCTTATCTCGTAATATCCCTTCAATTACAGTGATATTTGTGATGGATATGTCATTTTGGTTGTTTTTAAATTACTTAAAATTACGAACTTCATTTTTGGCCATGTTTTTATATAACAGGTGTTTATTTTGCAACGCTTCTGGTGGTCCATTTCTGTAATCTGATTATATCATAGCAGTGTTATTCTATGAAATGATAAGATGGATACTAGTTTTTTCTAAGATTTTTCTTGTCATAGAACTGACATTTTCCATCATTTAATAATTCTTCAGTTTTTAGATATAATTTGTGTTTCCTAATCATGTATTACACAGTGTCATACGTTTAGGCATAAACAATTCGTTCTTATTATTTACTTGTAGCAAACCTCATCCAAGGTAACTGTAATGATCGGATGATGTTTGGTTACTTTTTTGACTCCAATAAATCAGGAAAGGAATAAAAATTTTTTTAAGTTATGAGATTGGAAAGAAAGTATTGATGTTCACTAGGGTTTCAGTAGGTAAATGAAACTACAGCTGGATGGAGCTTGAATTAGAGAGTTAAAATAGTTAGTTGTGAAAGTGACGTACACTTGTGCCTAAAAAAAAAAAAGGCTAGTGAAAAATGTTTTCATGGATAAGTCTTTCATCGGTCAATCTCAGAATTTCTAAATATATGGGAAAAAGCTGTGTACACCAAGATATCCTTCCTCAACGCAGTATGTGCACTTGGCATCTTTAGGATGCTTCGTTGTAATGTTTTAGATTTTCCTCAAAATAAAGTTGTTTCTGACAGCAATAAAGTTTTTTCCTATGCCAATAAGTTCGTTTATTTGCATCACAAGCATGTCAACGTCGATTCCGTTTCAGTCTTCATTGGCTTTTTCATCAAAGTTCAGAACAAAGTGAACACTTCTCTGACATTTTTTTTTATGAATTGTTAGAGACGTTATTGAAATGAGAATTCCTTACATTGCCATTCATACTTCCTTTGACAGGCTCTCTCACTTTAATATGAAGTTAACTTTTCCAATAATGAGAAATAGAGTTCACAGAACATTATATACCGTTATTTTAGTTCTTATGATTGCACCTCAAGGCCTTTATTTCTAGTTGCTTAATTAAACATTTAACTTTTGAGTTAATTTAACACATTTTTTTTTTTTTGTTTTTCAACATTTTTGTTATAGTTTGATTGTAATTTGTTGTAAGACTTTTCGCTAAAAAAAAAAGTCTGGTATTGTTCCTCGAAAGGAGCAGATTAACAAGCTAATTCTTGATTTTTAAAGTTGTTATACTTATTTTCTCAAAACTTAGTTTGTAAATAACTAAGAGTAAACTATCCTTATATGCAAGCTATGCAGACATGTCTAGCAAAACTAAGGTGAAAAAAAAAGTAAATAAATAAAGGGAATTCTTAAAAACAATAATCAATCGTTCAAGAATCTTTGTTGTATAATTAAACCATAAAAACCTTTACATCTTATCAGTAAAATTTTGTTTTAATATTGAACATATTTCATACATGTTCTTGGTGTTATCAATAAAAGGGTTGAAATCCACTAGTCTTATTTTGAAAACTAGTTACGGAAAAGTATGTTAAACGTTACGTGACGATAACGATGTTAAATGAAGTTATAAGAACTGCTGCAAAAAATCAATGCAGTTTTAGCAAAATTGATAATACTTAAGAATGAAATTTTTTTTTTCAGGAAATTCCTAAAAGGAGAGAAACTGAATCGTCAGGACTTGCTTACTCACATTATACAACTTCAAAATTATGTTCCATATTATGCGGTGAAAACATAAGCTTCTAAAAGATTTCGCTCCTTTTTGTGCGGGAAAGGTATAATTTAGCACTTCAAACTTAATTCAAGTAATAAATATTTCTTACATATTGCTAAACTCAAAGTAATGAAGAATTTCGCTGGGCTTCTAAGTGAAGTCTTTTTATAAGCAGTTAAAAGCTAATGTTAAAAAATGATTTTTCCAAAAAAGAAACAACCTAACCATTCGTTTCCTTTCTTTTTTTTTCACTTTTCTTCCATTAAAATTTTCATCTGCCAGTAATTTAAATCATTCGATGTTTTTATCCATTTAGACTGCATGTGAAGAAAAGAGGCTGGTTTAATAAGAATTTCAATTAATGGTGACTTTTCGAAATCTATCACAACTACATGCAAAAAACACATTAATATTTTTCTCTAAGTGTGTCATAAGTACTTTCTACAATTCATTTCTATTACAAACTGCTTAACTTTTGGCGTAACGAATCAGCATATTTGCCATCTGCTTTTACTCAAATTCAACCTTGCAGTCCATCTCTTCTCTTCTTTCTGAAGTCTACAAATTTTTTGTTGCCGATTGTGTTTTGTTTCATTGATTATAGATCGAATTTTAAAAGTGGAAAAAACCGTTACATAATTGTTTTGTTTCTGTATTACAAAATAGTTTTTAATTAATATGACAGAACTTTTGGGAAAAATGCTAGCATTAGAATAACGCATCTTAAGATTAAAGTAGTCATAATGCATTATTTTTTTTTTAGTTGCTGATTAAATTTCAATAAATTCATTACATATCGTTATGTAATGCGTAATAATTTGTTGCTAGACAGGTTCTATTTCTACTTTTGTTATTTATTAGAAATGAGCAAATTTGCTTTCGCTGGAGAATACTGACCGCAAATCTTTATCTTTTCCCTACTGCACTCAGATATCGACCGATATTTCCGTATGAGAACTCTTTGTTTTCTTCCTCATACTCAGTTTGTTGAATTTTTCCTTTTATAAATTTCTTATTCAAAACTTCCTTACGAAATTCCGAAAATTACAAGTTAATTTGATGCAATCCTTTACATGTTCTATTATTAGTAAGTGCTGCTCGTTGAAGCGATTTTGAAAATTTGAATTCCAAAATTTTTTAGGTCTACTGCGTGGGTATATGTTGGCTATATGGATGATGTTAATCTTAAAGATTTTTGTGAAATAATCATTGTGAATTGCAAGCTAAATTCAAAAGTGTTGCAGATAAAGCTTGATATCAATTCTCGCTTATCGTGGCCGCAACAAGAATTTTTTGTTCAAAGCCAAGTTTAAATGAACTTCTGAAAAATTCTGTGGAAATCCTTGTGAACGGTTTCTTAATTAGGCCAATATTATTGAGGTTATTACTGGTTGCAGCAAACTTGAGTTTTTCTCGATGAAATTTGAATTTGCTGTACTGCTATTATTGAACAGTATCACTGGTACACTACAGGTTAGTTATTTTACACTTTAATTTTTAAATATACGATTGACTGATGAAGTTTTTTCTGGAAGACTTTAACACAATTAAGTATTTTCGTTTTCTGAAGTCCTGAAAAATAATGTGAAACAATGTGAGAAAAGTAAAAGTCACTGATTTGTGGAGATTGAAATTGAAATTTCTGGGATACGAATTTACTGTCATCACCGATTTGAAGTTATGCGATTATATAACGCTGGTGAAGTGTTTCATAAGTATCTTGGATGAATGGGCATGGACATTATATGAACTGAAAGATAATGTTGTTACGATCAATGAAAATCAATGTGAGCACTTAAGGCAGCTTGATTTATGTATCAAGGTAAATCATTAATTGCTTTTTCCACAGCTGAATCCTGCAGGTTGATATTTCGCAGTTGGAAATATACAGTATCCATTATCCTGGGATCTTTGTCTAGATCATATACATATATTAAACGGTAGGCATAATTTAAGACATTTTTAAGAGAGTGTTATTTTAATTACGCCTATTAGTTTGTCATTCGCGCCAAATTGAATAGCGGAAACTTAAGTAGATCTTTACTTTACTGTGAAAAAATTTCAGGCGGAAAAGAAGCTTGCCATCTACTTTTGTTACTTTAAATAAGCACGGCAAATAAATTGCCGTTACCGGATTTTATTTTGTTTTACATTTATTAGAAAAGAAATTTTTAGATTGTAATTACCCTTTTTTATTTTGGTTCACAATGGAAATTTTTAGGATGCTGGACCAGTCAAGCATGAATGCGAACACAGTGAAATTCTTGCTGCTTCAAACACAGTTAGCGATTTGTTAATACATCGAAAAAATTCAGGCAGCTTTTTGAAGAGTTATTATCTCTTGACATATGCTTGTTCACAGGTAAATTACGTGTTTCTTAGAGCGATTTGGCTTGTTTTTGTGGGAAAGAATACATTAGTATCGTGGACCGCCATTTAAAACTTCTTCCCATATATAAAAAGTCATTTATTTATTTTCTGGGATATAAACTGTTTTTCAACAGACTTTTATTCCATATTAGACAAGCATGCCGAATTTTTGAATCTAATCTTTCATTTTAGTTTTTAATACATATTTCTAGATGGATTTTTGTAATTTTTTCTACAGGAAGGACAGGAAATACTAAGGGAACATCGTGAATGTTTAATGGAAGAACGAATTGGTGAAATGACACTCAGTGCTGGGACCTACTTATCCGAAAGGTTTCTAGAACATCCAGATGATCAAGTTAGAATTTTGTGGATCAATAGATGTCCGAGATTGCAGAGTTTAGTAAAACGAAGCGGTGCATGTAGAAAAAACATAATATATAAATAATTGTGATCTTTCACTTAAGTGCCATTTTGACATGAAAAGTTTTGCTCGCAAGTTTTTAATCGACCTTTCAGGTTTGTCAAGAAGTAAACAATAAGTTGCACGAATATATTAGTGCAATGAAGGGGATTTGTCATTCAGAAAGTGCACAAGTAATCATGTGCAAAAGCTTGAGAAACATGTTCAAGGTTACATGTTATATAATTGGTAATAAAATTTAGTCATGGGAGAAGGGAAATCATTTTTTAAGATTTTGATGATTTCATCCGACTTGCAATCAGAAGAATGTTCGTTTTTTCCAGGGTCTACATGCAGATAAGCTACATTCTTGCGACTTTGACTGCAATATTCCGCAGCTTGACGAGATAGCTGAGCCAGGACTGGCCACAGTGGTACATCATGAAGGGTCACTAAGTGGGACAACTGGAGAAGATAATCTGATTCCTGAAGCAGTCAATGAGCATGCTGCTACTGCTACAGATGGTGGCGCACCGGAAAGTCATTCGCTGAATTCTTCCTCTTCTCCGTCGACATGCCTCATTCACTCTATTTCACTTCTGCTCACATCCATTGTTTTCTCATAGAAGCTATTTGTTTAGGAAATTAGCAATATCCTGAAATTTATTTGGTACCATAGATATAGCATTTCTTATTCTGTTAATACTACTATGCTATTCAAGAGTATATTTTACACAATAACTGTAAACATTCCTAGATTCCTAGATTCCAACAAGTGAAATATTCTACGATTGCCCAAGTTTTAATGTGTAGCATAAAGTTTTTAACAGTGCTTTAAAAAAGATTGATTGATACACATTTTAAAGCCCATATATGTTTAAATGGGAAATTAAGTTAACTATTTAATGCAAAAAAGAATCAATACCAAACTAATTCTCATCTCTCTTCGAATTTAACTGTTTACTGCTGTCATGGATTTCGACTCATGTTTTAATTCCCTTCCATATACAAGTGGAAAACTTTCTGCCTTTCCCTCTCTCATTTCCCTTTTACCTTTCATCATATAATTCCTCAAATTTTTTGCTCTTGTTCTCCTCATTATATGCGTGTAATGAACGTGTATGGCAAGAGCTGTGTTATTGCTGTTCATTACATTATTACACATTCCTTTTATTTTACATACATTAACTTCCTTATTGTTAATTTTGGGAAGAATCTTTAATGCATTTCTTTCTATAACTTATAGGAAATCTCTCTGTGAGCCTTTTTAACACTAAAACAGTACTGCATCCCCGAGCACTCAGCTTATACACAAAAGTCAATACTTGCTGTCTATTCGCCATCCACAACTGTAACAAAACTCTATGAGAAACCCTTTCAACTTGGTTAAAAAATCTCTGTCGCCTCATAAATCCCCTATTTTTTGAAGTATTTCGGGAAACATACCACACTGATGCTGATAGCAGTGATGCTATGTTAACCACATTAATTCAAACTCCCAAATATCGCTGTCTTCAAACGATTTTTCAAACAACAAAAATACAGATTTTGCGTCACGTTCAACTAATCTGCAACATTTCTTATACTCCACCTCCTTTCGAAAGTTGTAGAGGATTTGAAAAATCTTTAGAAATGCTACCTTAATGAATAAAAAGTTCGTTTTTATTATGGCAAGTACTTTCAATTTAAAATCACCATGCATTTCTTGAAAACCCTAAAACTTTGACATTTATTTTAATCTTATAGATAGTACCTATATAAGCATTGGATACTCTAAATCCAAAGGAAATAAAAACTTAAGCTACATCCATGTAATGAAACTTCTTGTAATGCCATACTAAACGATCAATTAATCGGAACTTTAACTGTTAACCTAAGAATGGTATAACAAATACGTGAAAACATCAGAATCAAACAAGAGGAGCATAAAGTTAGAAAATCTACATGAAAATGGTTAAGTGAACTGGGTGGGACACTGCACCTCCAATTATCAAGAAAAGGAACGCAAGGAGCTGAGATAATGAAAATAAGTGAGAAAAAAGAGGGACAGTATGAATTAAAAATTGAGCTCAAATATGTTGAAATAAGTTCCCGACTAAAACAATAGCTTGGAATGAATGAAAATTAGTAAAACAAAAACAGTGTGGTTACCTCTCTCATTCTTTATTTTTCAAAAAGGGGATAAGCAGGTATTTTTTCTTCAAAAAGAAACATAACCATATTTTTAACTATGTGTTGCTATATTACTGACCGTGCAGCTAAGTGGCAGTTTTCGTGACTTCCGATAATCCTTTATAATAAGCAAAACAATGAAAAGACGCGAACTTTCAGTTGCAAAAATCTGTATTTCAGATATAAAAGTTCGTACTAAAATAAAAACTGCAGAAAACGCAGCGGGACAGAAATAATACAAAAAATGGAGCTAATAGGAATTTATAACTTTAGAGTTTTAAGAATAAAGAATACATATGAATACCAACACAATGTAGCATAGAAACAATAAAGGAAGAAGTACAGAAAAAAATAATAAAAAGACAGATTTATGTTAAAATATAAGGATTGTGTCTTTCGTTAAGCTAAACACATGTTGAAAACTTCAGGAGCTATTAAAATATTAGAAGGTCTATCAAAATCATTAAAGATAAAATACCGGCTTAAAGAATCATATTATTCACATGTAAGTAAAATACTTGGAATGGCTAATACAAACTCTGCTCACTGAAGACAGCAGTTCTGCTTTTCCTGTGGAGGATAATAAGCATGCTGACCACTAAACGGCCCAGGAGCAATACCGCACGTCTGCTGCGGCGTACCGTCTTGATAAGTGCTCTGACGATTCTGAGAATAAGGTGCCGACTCCGGGTAACACTGTCGCTGTTGCTCTTGAGGATATGTTGCTTGTCCTGATGGACAAAAGGGTTGATTTGGTGAGTACGAGAAATTATTTTGTGGATGGGAAGAATTACTTGGTGGATAAGGAGCCATACTCGACGTGTTCCTACCCGGCATAAAACCAAGACTTGGATATGATGGAAATGATCCATCTACAGGGTTCGTTGGATACGGCTCTTGTGGAATAAACGGAGGTGAAGTAGGTTTTTTGGATGCTTCGTCATAAGGAGGTGGTTTAATGCTTCCAAATCCGGTTATTTTCAGAATACGCAGATGTGTTCCGTTTGGCATACCTGGCATTGGCTGATCAAAATCACCCCACAAATAAATGCTTCCTGGAAAAATCATAATCGTTGGATTATTAGAGTGCATAGTATGACTCAGCTTCAAAAAATTTCCCCTTGTATCTACAATTACTAAATGAGTGTCTAAACCTTTCAGAACAACTGATAAAAGTGATGTAAATTAACATTACATACTATGGAGTTAACCTGAATTTGTGGCCGTAAGGCGTGGTTCAATCAAAGGAATTGGCATTTCTGCAGGAATTTGTTGCCATATGAAAGTTGAAAGATCAACAAACCAATAATCAACAAGACGAGATACCGAGCCATCATAACTGATCTCGCCACCAGCAAGTAAAATGTATCCTATAAACTGTGCTTCTAAAAATTTTTGATGAATAATAAACAAATAGTAAAGTGGTGTTATAGAAAGTTTATATGAATGAAATGAAAAGGGTAAAAAGATTAACTATTTAACATACCTGCCACTGAATCAATAGCAGCCTGCTTACGAGCGCATGGTGCACCACGCACAGGATCAGGACTACACATTACTGTATGTAACTTACGCTGTCCTGTGATTTCAAGAACGTGGACTCGAGAATGATCGAAATGTCCATCAGGTGACTGAGACAGAAAATATATTTTCCTGAAAAAAGAAAAAACAGTGAATAATGCAAAAACAAATTTTTACACTACGAAAACTGCAACTGTAATTATGGATTTCACCGAAATAAAAAAAAAGAACAGAAATATGACGGAAATTGGAAATTTAATAATTTTGATAGAATAGTTAAAATCAATTTCATCAATTTCTCATGTTTCGTGTTCAAAAAAGTGGAGCGAAATCAGACCCTTGGCTTAGGTAAGCATCATAATAATGATTGAGGTCTGCCCCTGAGACTGAAAATGATTCGATTGGGCTGGAAGGCAGTTCGGTGAGACAACTGATTCGCCAAACAGTAAGACCAGGAGCAGTCATCAGCACAACTTCAGGTGCATCTTCACGCATCGAAACGATGAATGTATCAGTGACTGTTATAAAATTTGACAACAGTGCTCTTGGTCCGCTTTCCAAATTCATCCCATCACGTGTTAAATTAATTCTATAGAGTAATAACTGAAACGAAGAAATATCCAAATACAAGTGAAATGAAAAAAGAATTTGAAAAACATTATTTAACTCTTTACTGAGCTAATAAGCTGAATATCCCTCATAAGTGGTCGCAGCTTTCCCAGCTGCTTTAACTTTTATCCTTCTTAACAAAACTTCCAATACTTTTTTACATCACAATAGCTTTTTGCATCCATTACTCCATATGTTCCTAAAACTTCCATCATATTACATGAATTCAAAAATTTAAAAAGTACAAAAAGACAACAACCAACCCCAGTATGACCATATCTATTGGCGGTACAGGTAATGATAAATGAGGAACCTCCGGAAGATGACGGACACTTCAATGCAAATATAAATTTAGGTGTTCCTGAAGAAATCACAAATATACTGCGCAAGAAAGAAGATATGCATGTACTTCAAAGGCTCCAATGTAAATTAGATAAAACAAATTACTGCAGTTTTAAAAGCCCTTAAACAATTAAACTCGCGATTTGTACCTTCACAAAAGATGGGTATTTCCCGAGTAAAGCAGCGCTGATACAAATCGAAAATGACCAAACCTTGGTTGCCTTTGCGCCCACCACTAAAAAGCGAAATTATCGGTACATGTCTCACCAATATTTGAAAAGTGATACAAAATCTCAACTTTACTAGTAATGCCTAACAAAAGTGGAAAATGCTCTCACTTACGTTGTTCCTGAATTTTCATCTGCAACCGGATCGTAGAGGAAATACAGCTTGGAGTGATCAAAACTTTCTTGAACATCCTGAAATACTGCCATGCGCCAGCGACCCATCTGTATATCCAGGGAATCTGGTACCCTACCCCATGGCACAGTAACATCTTCAGTATTCACTTGCATATCTCCCTAAAAATGATTTGTTCAATTGATCCCCACCGTAGGAACAAAGTGGGATGATGTTCAAAGTCCAGCTGATTTCCAAACACCACCTCAGTTCAATAAGTTAAGCATTCTTTAACATCTCTACAAGGAAACGGAACTCGCACGAAACTTGTACAAAATCTATTGATTAGAATACCGAACTTCTAATATTTATGAGCCAGTGGAGAGGAAGGAAATGACTTATTTGACGTCTCCAACTTCGTTACATGGCATTAGTCAGAGCTCTCATAAGGCTGAAGTTCGTAGCACAGCTGACATATCTCAACACGATAATCAGTTACGCTATAAAAAAACCAAATTTATTTCACTTCGTCAAATTCTTTTACACAACCTTCGTACTGTAAAAGACATAACACCATTTCAGTGGTATAGAATCTCGCTTACCCAATACACCACATAACAATCAACAGCCACCGTCCACCAGTCCATCCTAACAGGTCATTCCGATGCCATCAGATGTTATCCACCCCTTACACAAACCTCGCCACCATATAAACTCACACGGCTATTTGAGGATGACGTCCTATGCCAAATAGCTGCTACGGCGTGCAATATCGTAACCCCATGCAATTTTGTGTCCCAAATGGAAACTCCCTATTAACAAGGGGCAGCTGCGAGAGGAGAGGAAGTAGTGAAGCGACAGATGTCACCACTGGGAGTTGATAGAGAAGAGACCTAGAACGGAGTAGATCTAATACACCACTACCATGTATAGTAGCTATTCATCCTCTCTCGAAAGTTTTAATTCTCATCATAGAAGCGAAACACTGATAGCCTCATGAACTGTCTTGTGTGAATTTACCTCACAGTCAGAGAACTAAGCTGAATCTGTCGTTGTTTCGGTTTGGCTACAAATGCTCTCATAGCTGACCAATACAAGCTGAGTTCCAATCACTAGTTCTTTGGATTTCAATGGGTTAATTGAAATCCTCTTTCAATTTGATTGCGTTCTCCGTGAAATTTATACTGCAGTGAAACGTGAAACCACTTATTAATGTTTTCAACACGCAAAAGATTTTCTCTGATAGTTTTTGTTTGACAGTGTTCCATTTATAGTGGGCATAAACTATAATATATTTCAAAACATTGTCGTCTTTTTGATTTCATTTCTTCACTAAGCAGCGCAACCATTTCCATAACAGATTGTCTTGTATGAAGTGATAAGGATGTCCATTTAGTGATTTTTGAGCTTCAAAAGTCCGAAACTTAAATTATAGTACCTCTCTGAATTAAAAATAATAGTATTCAAGGGTTTGCAAAAGACTACAGTAATTGAAAACTGTCATTTGTTCAGAACTGTTTCAGATTTGCTCACATAATGTGTTCCCATGGTAATGATAAACGCTTGCTCTCCTGATGCAACAACACTCATCCATTTTATGGCATTGTTTTGCTAAGATTTCCTATTAATTAGTCATTTATAAAATTAGGAAGACAGTAATCTCGCAGTATTGTTCCCAAAAAATATAGTTTGAAAATTGAGCTTGTGACCCCCTTCTCCTCTTTCTTTACTCTTCTACATGCTGAAGCTATGAATATTTTTTCTCCATTTTTCTCAATGGATTCTGCAGGACTGCTAAAGAAGCTGTGAGCGGGTTGTATTGGTGGTAGTGCAGATAACATCTGATACTTTTAAAAAACATAAGGTTAGGAAAATCATTTTAATTATGAGGCATCTAAATGAAGAAGTCCCAGTACTTTATATTGATTGCTTGCGCATACTAGGCTTGCGTCCCTCTTCTTCTCTTTCTTCCTTTCTATGTGTGTGTGTGTGTGTGTGTGTTTCTGTGTTTGTGGACTCATTATATGTCCCAGTGTCCAGTGATTTCAACAAGGTTCTTTTTTCAGAAGCCTATCTATGTATTTGTTATTTGTATGCTTTATTATTGCTAAACTTAGTTAAAACTATTACCCAGTCCCAGTACTTTATTGTCCGTGTGTGATTGGGTTTAAATAATTTTCTGACTAACTGAGATTAATATTTTTCCTCGAAAATCATATTGAATTTTATAGACAATTTTTGAAATGTATCTATTATGTGATCAGATTACTATACACAGTCATTACTGAGAGACTTTCATTCTGGAACTTTCGTTCAGGTTTTATACAATGGACCGTCGAGGAGGATTTCAGGGTGGTTTCGGCAGCGTCAACACCGGTAGTTTTGATGAAAGATGGTCCAGGTATTTAAACTAAACTACTTCTCAACGAGAAAGAAATACTCAAGCTACATTTGTTGCAAACCTTAAAAGCAAAATTTTCACTCTCTGAGTCAGTTTGCACCTTATCTGGCCCACTAAAAGTTTTTTTTGAAATTGAATTCTCCCATGTTCTTTCCACCAGAATTTGCCTTCGCACTTCCTGAAAATGTAAAGCTATGGAATCTATTCTGCACATTAATAAAATAAAAAACTGATTTCAACATTATGTAATCTTTGAAAATGAGTTTTTATTTATTATTTGGTATTCATCCAAACCGGAAAATTAATGTATATATTTATTTTTCAACGTATTTAATAGTTAAACTAGCGATAGAAATAAGATTAGCCCTTTCTCTTTTTAGAATTCCAATTTTCTAAATTCTTGAGAAACCTTGCAGTTCAACGAGAAATCAAGGTGCTGGACCACGGCGAATAGGTAGTGGTTTACGTCGTATAACAATTGATTGGGATAAGCCATGGATTCCGGTAACAAAGCTTGGCCGTTTGGTAAAAGATGGACGAGTAGCTACAATAGAAGAGATCTATCATAGATCGATACCCATCCTAGTTGGTCACCTTGTCATTGTCATTCAATAATAGCCTCATGATTAGTGCGAAACTTGGGGGGAAATAAAGGAAGAATTGAAAGGAACCTGCATATAGATGAAACATAACACAGAAATCAAAGGGAAACAGGCTGGGTTGGGTAATAACAAACAAAGCGCTGACACTTCTAAAGGTAACCGAGTCTCAAGGGGTTGAAAAGTTTACTGCCAGAATACGCTAGCGCTATGAAACAGAAAGACTGGAAAATTTTGGTCTTAAATTTGGTATGGCATTTGAAATAATTGATGGTATGCTTGACTATACTGTTGACCTGACTGTACTGACATGTGCTAAGTAACAAACATCATTGCAAGAACAAACGCGAGCAACCCCGTAAAATCAATCCTGCCAGTACCAACATAAACTAAATTTTCATCTTACCTTTCGATTTAGGGTTTCTTGTAAGACCAGTTAGCATAGTAGAAAATATATTTGCTACATGAAGACCTGCCTCGAGCATGCCAAGTACACTTAAACCAATCGCTATAAACTTTAAAGCTGCTAAATCCATATATCACCTTTAACTATTTCTTCAATGTATTAATCATATTCTAGAGAAAAGTCAATTACTTTACTGCATCTAATAAATATACTGCAGGAATATCAATTTTCTGAATCCAAGGTTATGTTTCCTTTCACAGTTTTGAAATTTATATAGTGTGTTGAGCCAGTTATATATATAATCGTCGGTAATCTTTAAAAAAAAAAAACTCTCTAACGAAAGAAACGATTACTTAATTCTTTTCGAATTGATGGTTCCTACTCAAAGCTGCGCCAGTTAAAATTTAATGAAAGAGAAAGGAATAAAAGAATTGCAGGAATATCAAATTGTGGATCTATTAGTACCAAATCTGAAGGAGCAGGTATTGAAGATTCTTCCGGTACAAAAGGAAGTTCGAAATGGGTTGCGCACTCGATTTCGAGCGTTTGTTGCTATTGGTGACAAGAATGGGCACGTGGGTCTTGGGATGCAGTGTGCAAAACGTGTCAGCACCGCGATCAGACTTGCAATTTATCGTGCAAAGACAGCAGTGGTGCCTGTACGACGAGCCTATTGGCACACGGAACATGGCTTACCTCATACTATACCCTGCAAGGTACTTACTATGCCTGTTTTCCTTGCAATCTAAACAGCCTACTGTTACTGATTTTTCAACGTTACACCCTATAACAAATTTATTTTGAAACGAAATAATGGAATGTAGTAAAAGTTAAAATCTTAGGAATTTTAATTGGATGAAAGCTTGTTTAGATAATGGTTCGTTACTGTGATGTTCGAGTAACACTTTATCCAGCTCCACGCGGTACTGGTGTTAGTGCACCACCTATAGTACAAAAGTTGCTGCACTTAGGTGGCATCCAAGATTGTTATACATCAGCATCCAGCTACAGGACATTAGGCCCAGTTGCAAAGGCTACATTTCTGGCTATTCAACGTGCTTATTTGTTCGAATCGAAGAGTGAGAAAATTGATGAAAACAGTGCTTTTCGGGAGTTGATACCATTGGTTAACTCATCATAATACTCGCTGTCCGAAACATATGGTTGAGAAATTGAGTTTATTCCGGAGTTATTTAGATCATTGTATATTTAGTAAGTAGAAAAGAAATTTTTTTTTAGTTTTGATGTTGACTTTTTTACTGCTTTTGGAATACAGTTTTTGAATTAGTTCGTCATAGCTTTCTTTTTTATTTAGTTAATCATACCGCTCTATTTCTTCCATACTTCAAGTCGCTTCAAATAATTTCTTTAACCCGCTCATTCTGATTTCCTAATTTACATCAAATTCTATTTGTCATTTGTTGAAAATATTCTGCCCTATTTCAATTCGAAATGCAAATCTAGAAATTTAAATCTTTTTGTTGTCCGGGTCTAGAATCATTTTTTTTTTCTTGATGAGCACGAAGCTATTTTTAGAATGTTGATTTTTATGTACTTCATTTATCGTTTTTTGAACTAAAAAAATTTTATTGCGTTTTTGTGTTTGATACATGAAATAAAATTTTTTTTTGGAACATTTCTTTGCGTCGTTGAATCGGACACTTTATGCCAAGCTATTTGCTTATCTCACTGCATCACCAAATATTTGTTAGAACTTATTGGATTTACATACTTCATCTATGTCTAAAATAAAATATTTTTGGGACCAGT